TTGTACATGCGCACGCAACACAAGCAACACATTAGACAAATACGTGTTTCATTCGCTGTACTTCCAGTCAACACACCTTCTCCCTCACCCACACTTTCTCCCTCACCCTGTCACGGGATCGCTGAATTAACCCTCTCCGCTGAATGGCCGCTCCCGCCTCTTCCCTCTCGGCTACAGAAGCAAGGAAATGCTATATATATTCTGCTCCTTACGTCACGGGGAGAGCTGAGTGGGATATTAATACTCCTTTTTGGTATTAAAGCGGGATTTTGTGTCGGGGTTTTAGTGGTTGCCATTCCTTTTGATGTTGATTTTTTGTGCAAATCCTAAGAAAGGAGAGAGAGAGAGAGGGAGAGGGAGAGGAGAGAGAGGAGAGAGAGAGAGAGAGAGAGAGAGAGAGAGAGAGAGAGAGAGAGAGAGAGAGAGAGAGAGAGAGAGAGAGAGAGAGAGAGAGAGAGAGAGAGAGAGAGAGAGAGAGAGAGAGAGAGAGGAGAGAGAGACAGAGAGAGGAGAGAGAGAGAGAGAGAGAGAGAGAGGAGAGAGAGAGAGAGAGAGAGAGAGAGAGAGAGAGAGAGAGAGAGAGAGAGAGAGAGAGAGAGAGAGAGAGAGAGAGAGAGAGAGAAGACAGACAGAGAGAGAGGAGAGACAGAGAGGCAGAGAGAGAGAGGGAGATAGATAGATAGATAGAGAGAGAGAGAGAGGACAGACAGACCGACAGACAGACAAAGAGAGGGGGGGGTAAATATCTAGATAGGCAGTTAGATCAACACAGGGAAACTTAGACACAGAGAGATGCTGATATATAGATGGATGGATAAACAAACAGTTGAGCATCCAAACATATGGACACATGCCTCAGGTATACAAACAGATACATCGATATATCGATAGGTAAAGATGTGTAAATAAAATAAAATGAAGAAAAATATATTGGTAGATAGATAAATCGAATAAAATACATTGATAGATAAATGGACAGACAGGTAGGGACACAGATAAACATATAAAGACAAGAAGGGTATACAATCGGATGTTACGTGTAGCATGAAATACCCGAAAGGAGGGAACCGCACGCAAACTCTACGGATATTTGTTGCCACATTTCACTAACCAGTAAAAACAACAACCCATCAAACCAACCCTAGTTAGATCATTCAAATCGACATCAATACGGGAATCCCCACTAAACGCAGTGCGCCATAAACCCCCCGGGGGGAATGTACCCATCAATTTTACGATTCTTCTGGAATTATGGACATACCTGCTCCGACCCACATTCAAATCCCGGCCACAACCCATAACCTCTCTCGTGTCCCGAGGCTCAAGCGTCATCCTGCTCGTGTTAAGCTCTCAGATGCTGTTTACGGGGAATCGCACATGGGTTTAAAAATAGCCGTTCTAGGATCAACCCGCCTGCGCGCGCATGATCTCGCGTTAGACGAACGCCTCTCGACCTCGGGGGCTGTGTCGGCTGCGTTTTGCTGACGTTGATAAAGACGCATTGTCCGGGGTGATCCATTAATCCGCGGATTACCCTGATGGACCTTACGAGAACGACCGTCTGACGTAATTACTACTTGACGGACGTGCTGTGAAATATGGTAGCGTTTCTCTCTCTGTGTCTGTCTATCCCTCTCTCTCTCGCTCTCCCTCCTTTCCTCCCTCCCTCCATCTCTCTCTTTCTCTCTCCCTGTCTCTCTCTCTCTCTCTTTTTCTCCCTCTCTCTCGCTCTCACTCTCTCTCTCCCACCGTTCCTCTCTCTCTCTCTCTCTCTCTCTCTCTCTCTCTCTCTCTCTCTCTCTCTCTCTCTCTCTCTCTCTCTCTCTCTCTCTCTCTCTCTCTCTCTCTCTCTCTCTCTCTCTCTCCTCTCTCTCTCTCTTCAAAGTCCACTCCCCCTCTCCCTCTCAGTCTCCCTTTCCCTCACCCTCCCTCCATCCCCCCATCCCCCCATCCTCTTTCTCCAGCAGCCCGAACAAAAGATAAAGCACAGGAACCACAAAGATTAAAAAAAAAAAAAAAAAAAAAAAAAAAAAAAAAAAAAAAAAAAGTGGGCGGGACGGACACGAGCCAATGGCGTGGCAAGATTCGGCCAGGCAGGGGCGGTGGGCGTGGCCGAACCGTGTCCACCTCCTTCTATTGCTCAGCTTTAATAAACAAACCTCCGCCTCGCTGCCTTTGCTTACACCTTCACGCCCGCGCCCGATCCACTTCCTTTAGAGCGCACTCCACACGCGCGCCCAATCCACTTCCTTTAGAGCGCTCATCCACACGCCCGCGCCCAATCCACTTCCTTTAGAGCGCTCATCACAGCGCCGCGCCCAATCCACTTCCTTTGAGCGCTCATCCACACGCCCGCACCAATCCACTTCCTTTAGAGCGCTTCATCCACCGCCCGCGCCCAATCCACTTCCTTTAGAGCGTTTCATCCACACGCCCGGCATCCAATCCACTTCCTTTTAGAGCGCTCATCCACCGGCCCGCACCCAATCCACTTCCTTTA